AACACTCTATTGTTTAAGTAGTCTACAACGCACAAGGGAATGGTGCTTTTCGCGCGTGTTGATTGTTTATTGCATGGCTATAACTTGCAATAGCATTTTTTTGTTCGTTCAGCTGAGGATGTACGGATTTTGTCACACTCGAGTAATTTGTGGGGTCTTTTTTTTCTGAGTTGGAGGTTGCATTGTGAGATTCTCTTTCGACACTTTTAAAAATTTAATTGATATGTAGTGCTTTCGGGCCGCGGCCTATCGTATTAAAAAAAAAAAAAAAGAGAGAGAAGATTACTTGCTCCGTGCAAGATGTCAACACACTCGATTCGTTCCAAACCCCTTGTTGTTTATTGTGAAATAACAGTCAGGGACAAAGAATGTCCCCGAGACCCGAACTTCATGCGCGTGTGCATGTAATCGAGAGCTTGGTAGCCGCTTCTTCTGTGAAACGTGCAAGTCGTCACTGAAAGTAAATTTTTTTCTCATAAGCGGGGATTGTGGACAGTAAGGTCATGTTTTAGCTATTTATTTGAAGGAAAACATGGCGTTCTTATCGTCACAGCTTCCAAAGTTATTTCGGCCGTCTCCCTTTTCGATCTTCCAGCAATCAAGGGCCGTTAGTTATTTTGTAAGCAGCGAAATCCGCAAAGAATACGGTAAACAAAGCTGTCAGTGGCGATGTATTTGGCGGGGAAATTCAAGCTATAGAAGGACATCTCTTAGCCCATTAGTTACACTGTCTTATTTTCGTTACAACGTAGGTCATCGTAACTTCTACACATATTCTGCAGAACCATTTCATCCTTTGCCAGGGAAAACGCCAGCATGGAAATCTGCCGAAGAAGCTGTAGAAGTGATCGAATCAGGTGAGCTTGAACTTTATTCCATCCACAAGATCGAAAATTTTGCAAGGTAAAAGAAAAAAATCCTAACGAAGCCAATTAAGTAACGTAGTTTCGACATCAGCACGCACGTATGTAAAGCTACTGTCTGAAGCTTGTTTAATTTTTTGAAGTGTTCGCAGGAGAAATTGCGCGAAATCAATTCTTATGGGACGTTGAAGAATTTGGGTTAAGATTTCATGCGAAGCAATTGCTACGAAATATGCCACAGACTGTCTTCCCCTTTCAGAATAATTAAATTTATTGTATAGTTACTGATGAAATACCAGGATTTCTCCTTTTACTAAAAAATCATATCTTCACCGCGCGCAGTGAAGATACTATTTTTATCTTTCACGTGTGAGAATATTGGTGTGGCCATGGTTACCAACATAATTACCCAATTGCTGTTTCGAAAATGAATAAAAAAAGTTGTGTTTTATGTGGAAATTTCATCAGTATCTATATAATAAACAGAACATTACATGGCCGCTTGGGGATACGAATTTTATCTTCTCGTGCTGAAAGTATCTCACGAGTGAGCTGCAATATCCTCTATGTCTGTCCACTTCCTCGGGTGGAGCAATGAAAGGATATGGATAACAACTGATTTTCTTCTAATCTCTGCACAGTGAAGAGAAAGCTTGATGTATAGTCTTGTTGACCTCTTTCAGGACTTGTTCAAGTTCTGATTGTTTTGTTTTTTTTTTTTTTGTAATAGGAATGAAGGTGTTTGTGCATGGAGGGGCAGCTACCCCTCTGCCACTCCTTGATGCAGTGGCTAAGAGAGGAATAGAAGCTGGCTTAAAGAATGTTGAATTGATTCATATCCACACAGAGGGATCAGGAGAAGTGGTAAAGCCTGAATATGATGGTGAGTTTGTCTTCTGGACTCTAGGACAAGTACAAGTACTGTGACACTCCCTTGATGGTAGTGTCATGGTATTAAGTCATTGATGTGTGCGGAATGGTTAAATTTACATAGCAAAAAGCAGTTTGTTAGCAGCATATTTCTGTTTTCCACACAAGGATTCCTTAATTTTGGTATGGCTACAAAAAATTTTGTAGTTTTAAAGTGCAGTTTCCCACAGGATGGAGCCACTTGTGATACAAATGATGAACTTTTGACTGGTTACTCCTAGTCTTTGGGTAATGAGGTTGACTGGAACAAATTTTCCCCCTTATAATGTTTTGTGCTTCACTGTGTTCAAAACTAACCAATTACAGGGAAGCATCAACTGCTTAATACAGTGGTTTGAAAAGAGCAAGTCGTCTTTGCTAGACTCACAATTCAGAAGAGAAGTTTAAACTATTATGAACAATCACTTGTAATCATTTTTTATAAAACACATGTCTTCTTTCTCAAATGATCCCAGGAATTTTCAGAAGCAACTCCTTATTTATTGGAGCAAACTGTCGCAAAGCTGTCAATGAAGGACGTGCAGACTTTACACCTATCTTCCTGAGCGAGATTCCACTGCTTTTCCAACGGAAGATAATTGACTTAGATGTGGCTCTGATACAAGTAAGCCCACCAGACAAACATGGATTTTGTACACTTGGTCCAAGTGTAGATTGTACAAGAGCTGCCATTCAGAATGCTAAATATATTATAGGTATGAATGTTATATTTTTATTTTGCACTCACTTATATTAGTCATAAGGTTTATAAATGTAATTATACTTTTAAGTTATTTATTTATTCTTTTGATTTATCAACTGCTGAATTTTGTGGTGCAATATCTCTGAATGTGGGGATACACACCAAAACAAATTGGTTTTTATTATTATATAGGCATTTTAGGGGTTATTGCAGAATTGAATTTGAGCATTGCAAGAAACAGTTAAGGAAATGAAAAAGTGACATTTTTCATAGATTTAGATTGATAAAACTCCTAGTTTGCTAAAAGATAATTATTTTATATGATGGTGACATTAAATCTAGGCTGTTGAATGCACATTATAAATTTTTGTAGTTTTGTTTGATATTAATTATTTTTATTCATATTTTGCAGGACTTGTGAACCCTCGCTGTCCTCGCACTCATGGACCAGGAGGAATCCACCAATCCCATCTCGATGTGCTGTGTGTCTCAGAGTTTAATCTCCCAGAACTGAAGATCAATCCTGAGTCTCCAGAGGAAGCCAAAATTGGTCAGATAATTGCTGATAATCTTGTGGAGGATGGTGCCACTCTTCAAATGGGTTAGTGGAGAAAATGCTAAGTTACTGTGACTAACATTCCCTACTTGTACCTGTACCTGTAGCCAGAAAATACAATTTAAACTAATCACAAATGTAAGGGCTTGAAAATCCACCTTCTTTGCAATTGAACCCTATCATTCCCAAAATCTCATTGGTTATTCTCTTTCTTAGTTGCCATTGGTGTTAGTTCAGAGAATTTGGTATTAGATCAACTAATAATCCAATGATTTATAATGGTAATCAATTGAACTGAGTGGAGTGCAGTTAGGGCTGAAATCGTACGTGTGATTTCAAAATCGAACGAGTGCACAGCGTGAGTTCGATTTGAAATCACAAGTATGATTTCAGACCAAAATTGCACAACACGAGGTTCAATTACCACTTTATTACATTCATTTTTAAATTGCCCAAATACAGGACTTGGTCAATTCAAATATTTTACTGATGCAGTACTGCGCCGGTTTTTAAATAAAAAGCGGAGCCGGAAATGCTGTTACATCTTATTTTGTATGCAAAATAGAAAGACTTTGATGTCATGTGTCAAAATTTCAGTCAAGCGTAAAATGATGCTATTTAGAACAAAAAATGGTGTGATTCGTGAATAAATCTCACCATTTAGAGCCAATCAGATTACAGGATCCACCAGTGATTTCAAAATGGCTGTAATAAATATTATTCTTTACTCTCATCTCTTGTCTGCTTGATGATAACATACAGATATTGTGTATCAATGTCAGTTTTTGGAGCAACAAAGAACCCACTCACCCCTCCCCTAACACAACAGCAGTCAAATGATAACAAGTTATGAGGGTTATTGTTGGATTAGGGGTGGGGTGGGTGTGTAGTTGTTCAGATACTGACTTCAGTGTAAGGAGAAATTTTGCATGGTCACTCATGGGAGTTAGTTTACAGACTGAAGGAGTAACTTGTAGAATTTTGTTATTTTTTCTCTTTGACAACCCTACAGGAATTGGTTCTATACCAGATGCCTGCTTGAGTCGATTGATGGATCATAAAGATCTTGGCATCCATTCAGAGATGTTCAGTGATGGTGTGGTAGCTCTGACTGAGAGGGGAGCCATCACAAACGCTTTTAAGAAAGTGTTACCTGGTCGATGTGTGGGAAGTTTTGTGATCGGAACAGAGAAAGTGTTTGAATTCATCGACAATAACCCTTTTGTAGGTGAGTTGGTGATTAAATAATTGTTGGATTTTGAAGTGTTGAGAAGTTCAAGTGATGGTGTAGATACTTCTTTAAATCCCTAGCCTCATAATCTTCTGGTAGCCAATAACATGTGGTTATTTGCAAAATGGAGAAGGATGGCTTTTTGTCAAACTTGTACTTTGTAATCGGATCAAGTCCGTAATGGCTTAGCTTTTGATACAACATTAACTTCTCCTTGTGTTTCATTTGGGAATACAGGAAACTTTGAAAGGCAAATCAATAGAACTAATTGGGGGCTTAACTTTTTTCATACACCCCTTCAATTAGATCGGTGATTTGGAAAGTTCTATGCATTTTTCAATATCCTAATTGTGAGTAGCTCAATATACCGATATACGGTTTATTCCACATGAAAAAAGTTTATTTCACTAATCAAACGTTTTCTCCACTTTCTTATCATAATAGTTAATGCCAAATTTTCTATTCCCTCCTTTTGATTATGTGTTATTTTTTCCTTTGAAGTGATGTTGGATGTTGGATTTGTTAACTTGGTGTCAGTGATTGCTCAGAATCCTAAAGTGACAGCTATTAACTCGTGTATTGAGGTGGATCTCACTGGGCAAATTGTTTCAGACTCTATAGGAACACGAATGTATTCAGGTAATCTACATAAAATATGTGAAGAGGGGGGGGCGAGATCTTCGTGACTTCCTACCTCCTATTGTACAGTAATATGTTGTTTTCTTTGTCTTTTTGTTTGCTGTTTGGTAGTGGATGAGTGATTTGAAGACCGGTATATTGCATCTTGTGCATTGTTAAAGTAATGGTGATAAAAAAAAAAAAAAAAGAAAAAGAAAAACCTTGTAAGCTTAGTTTACGTACAATACCGTTCTGCGTTTTTGAGTAACCTTACAGTATTAAACTTCTTTTCAGGTGTTGGAGGCCAAATAGACTTTTTACGCGGATCAGCGTTAGCGCTTGATGGAAGTGGTAAACCAATCCTAGCACTGAATTCCGTTACCAAGAAAGGAGAGTCAAAGATTGTTCCTTTCTTGAAAGAAGGTAAGTCGAAGGTGTGCAGGATGACTAATAGACTGTACCGTATTTTCTTAGTTATTTTGACCTGCTGCGATAAGCGCGAACTTGGCGTGATGGACGAGACGTTTGATATTTTGTTTGAGCAATTTGAATTAGGAGGGGTTTTCACTAAACCTCCTTGATCTTAAACGTCAAATGGTTTGGAAGATAGCGTTTAAGCTTTGATAACACAACAAGAGTTTCCTTTCACATTACAAAAACGGACTTTTTGAATTGTGCTTCTTGAGCGCTGCAACAGAAACAGCTCATTGCAGCCTTGGGCATGTGTGCCTGAAGGCTTTAATTGTTTCGCCAAAATTGCATAAGGAAGTTGTGTCAGTGTTTTCTAAAGTTTCCGTTTGAGTCAAATTTTTCATCCGGACCATCTAAGAGTGAAGGCAAATTTCATCGCTTGTTTAGTTATTACAGTATTATTTATTTAATTTCATAATTGTTCAGTCAGTTATTACAGTTACCAAATTCTTTCCATTTCTTACAGGTGGAGGCGTTGTGACAACTCGTGCGCATGTGCATTACATTGTGACTGAATATGGAATCGCTTACTTGTTTGGAAAGAATCTTCGGCAAAGAGCTTATGAACTGATTAAGATCGCTCATCCCGATCACAGAGAATCGTTGGAGAAAGCTGCTTTTGAGAGACTTAAATGTATGCCATCGCCTGATTAAGGCACGAACTCGGCACGCGAGTCTGGGACCAAGTCCCGTGCTTGACACATGACTTTGTTTAAACTCTCCGGAATTTTGGGTAAATCAAGTATGCAATCAGCAGAAAAGACTTTCTGAATTAAATTTCTTATAGGAAAGGTTATAATTACATTGTTTAATTATCAGAATTACCATTGCTGAATTATTACACAGTTACCATGTCGGTAATTTGCTTTTGTCGCACACCTAGTTTAAGAACGAGCAACCTTATATTGACGAATCCGAGCGCGCGCAGGAACTGAGAGATTTTACGACGTAGAACATTGTACAGGGAAGAGATGAGTTATCAAACAACGCTCTCTCAGGAATAACCTTTCTTTTATTCTTCGATGCATGAACAGCAAATTTTTTCAATGAGGAAATAATTACTTTCCTCTGCCACTGCACAGTTATTTTAAAATGATACAGTAACTACTGCAAGTCATAGGCATGTGTAAACCCATTAACTCCTTTGAGCGACAATTTCTCCCAACAACAACGATGCAACATCCAGCAGACAAGTGATGAGAATAAAGAAAAATATCAATTAAGAGATAACTGGTTGATTCAATACCTTATTACATCCATTTTGAAATCACTGGTGATCCCTGTAATCTGATTGGCTCTAATTGGTGTGATTTTTTTTTTTTGCTCTAAATCGCATCATTTTACACTTGACTGAGTTTTTGACACATGACATGAAAGTCTTTGTTTTGCATACAAAATAAGATGCATAAGCATTTCCGGTTCCGCTTTTTATTTAAAAAGCCGGATCAGTACTGCATCAATAAAATATTTGAATTGACCAAGTCCTGTATTTGGGCGATTTCAAAATGGATGTAATAAAGTGGCAATTGAACCTCGTGTCGTGCAATTTTGGTCTGAAATCATACTTGTGATTTCAAAATCGAACTCGCACTGCGCGCGCGTTCGATTTTGAAGTCACGCGTATGATTTCAGCCCAAATTGTACTCCACTCAATTCAATTACCATTCTAAACTCTCTGAACTAACCTCTAAAAAATTGTATAGCAGACAATAGGGAGAATTACTAAGGAGATCTTGGAAGTGAAAGGGTAACGTGATTTTTTAATGCATCACTTACAATCAGATGTCAAATAAGAATGCCGACGTACTAATTTTCTTAAGTTGTTACAAGTTAGTGGAATTCCAGCTATCGAAAATAATAATGTTCTATATCTTAAATATATAAAAATAATCATATCTTTTCTTGAAATAAGAGTGTAAACTAAAATATGGTATGTACTCTTACACACTTTTAACATGTGGGAGGAAATGGAGTATTTTCCTGTTCGTTTCTGAAGTTTAAGGTCATCATTTTCGGGATCAAAAGAACAAATGTTTGGGAAACCCTTAGAAGGGGAGATATCACGAAAGAAGAAAAACAAGTGCAACGTAAAGCTTCATAGAAGCTGATGTCTTAATAGTGGGATTTCAAAAATGACATGAACAAATAAGTTGATCTCTGAATTGAAGATGAATCATAACATCCCTAGAATTTATGGCGCACTTTTTTTTAAAAAAATTGTGCTTTCAAAAATTATGCCAAATAAATTAATTATAATAAATCAGTGATGTTGATGATAATACAAATTCTAAATAACAACTACTGGGTTGTTCAGAAGGTCTTCTCGGCTTGAACTAAATTTTTCAGTAAAGCCTCCTATTCGAGGGGACAGGTGATTAGTACACTCTTTAGCTAGTATAGGTACACCGTTCATTTCACATACAGAAACATTACGGAGGGGAATGAGTTTATCGTCATTAATGATATATCCCTGAGTTTTTTTCAATCACGAGTGTTTACCGACCGCGCGATCGTTTCAGAGTGTAATTTCGTTAGAATTTTGAAAAGTGAAATGGAGAACGCGCGCTTTTTTGTTGTGAACAAAGGTCGCTAAGCTTGGTCCCACCCAGGTAGGGTTAACCTCGTCTGCAGATATATAAGTATAACTTAAACTGGTAGGATGACCCTTCTCGATCGTAAACAAAGCTTGGGACAGCCTTTCCGTACGCTCAATAGAATATAACCCCCTTTTTGAAGGCGACCTTTCTTTAGGGTTACATTAAAAGCAATGGTGACGACATTGACACCTAAAAATGTTAGACTTTTTTTCCGTCTTAAGCACGGTGAAAACCATTAAGTGCTATCCAAATTCACCGCATTTTGCGTAATTCAAAGGTAAACCCAAAAATTTGCCTCAAATGACTCATCAACTAGTGTCACATTTACGTTTCTTTCTACCTTTACAACGATAAAACTGAGCTGTTGGACTACGATGAGCAATTAATTTTTGACGTCACTGAAGAAACAAGGGGCCGATTTCTGGTTCCTCAGAAAGGGTGACGCAAACTTAAGGTTACGACTGGCAGGAAAAGGATGTTTAAGAACTCAGTATGTGTCCTTTTGTAAAGTGAAAACAGACTTCAATCATGTTTTGAAATAAAATTGCATCCCCGTCTTCCCGACTTCTACTGCTCTAAGAGGGCCTAAGTTGTTCTCTGCTCAGTGTGACCTGGAGTCTCTCTTGTTTGGCATTTAAAGTGGTTCTCGCCTCATGCTCTAAAAACCTGCTGCTGGTTAAAACTTAAAGGTAACGGCTGAAGGACTTATCAAATAAAACACTTACGCGCAATAATTTATCCAATGTGACGTCAATGTATTACTTTCTTTGTTTAGAAGACGATTTTTTATGTTCCTCAGCCGGTGGAACCATAATCCACATAGTTGAAACCATATCATCCAAATCAAAATCTGTCACGTGGGTTTGTGTTTCTCCCAGAAGCCTTCCTGTCTTCATCGAACCCTGTGCGTAGATTCGAAATCGTAGACTGCTGTCCATTAATTCGTTGGCACTTACGCCGCGCATGACAAATGTCTCGTTAATAGTAACATCGGAGGTCGACTTCGTCTTCGTTTTGAATCGATATCGCTTCGACGGCATCAGGGTCAGATGGATTGACATTGACGAAGTAGCACTATTCACGGAAATTGCTTCGGGGAAGTCTTGCACTCGGATGATGGTCACTTCTAATCTCTGGGCCGTCTGCGCAAATGCTACAGAAACTTGAATTTTTGCGATGCAAGTTATATCCCCACGTGATTCCTTGCGCGACTTCCTCCGAACGCGCTGACCACCGCCCGTATCTCCGTAAGCAGAGAGAACATTCAAATGGCTTGCAGCTTTGACAGCTTCTATGGACGGTCTCTCCCACTGAGTTAGCTTCCTCTGAGGTGCAGGAGGCTGACGTGGTTTTTCAGCAAACAGGTCACCCAGGCTCCTGCTCTTGACGTATGGCGCAGGTTTGTGCATAGGGTGGTCATCACTCCTATCGCTTGCAGTTGTCTCTCGTTCAATGAAATCCACACTATCTGACTCATCGAGGGATTCGTCCTCTAATGCGGCTGATTGTCCAAGTTCTGCATATTCAGCTTGACTTACACCGGCCAATTTATTACGATCGAGTTTACAAATATCGGAGTGGAGAATCTTGTACAAGATAAATACAACTAAGAGACATATTCCAAGAAATCCCAAAAATATGATCGCTGGTTTCGGAACTGAAAAGCAATAATAAAATGCACATTTAATAGGAAACGCCGTTTATTCGATTTTTCAACTTCCTTGCAAGTAACAAATAAAGCAAAAACTGGGCGCAGATGTTCGTATTTGACCTTTTAAATAATGAAAAGGGTAACATTTTCCAATTGATTTTTATCTTGTATGCGATAATGTTCGTTTCAGAAAAAAAATTGGCATGATGAGTGATATAGGGTATGAAATTCAAATACGCCCGGAGTGTTTTTAACATAATTTCGGATATTAAGTTTATAAAGTTTTCCTCAGAAATCAGAATGTCACACACTTTGTAAGTTGAAAAGTTTGTTAATGGAGAAAATGCGTTTCAGAATTTAGATGGAATAGTTCTGGTTTTATAATTCGAATAATTTTCAAAGAATGTTTTCATTATACTCGTTTGGATATTGCGAGCAGCAGTCACTAAGAAATTTCCGTTTTTAATTTTGTTTTTAACCAAAGGGTGGTTACCGAAGAAATTTCTGCTTTCTAACTTGTACTCGCAAGAGACGGGATTAAGGTAAAATAGAACGACTGTCGCTAAGCTAAAGGTATCGCTGCATGCAAACAAGGAAAAAGATAACTAGAGATAGCGATAGATAAAATGTGTAAAACGGATGAAATTGACGATGTAAATTAAAGGAGAACTTAGAATATTTTGACTTGTTTTCGTTGGGTGGGAAACATATTGCTGGTCAAGTCAATTTAGTTGTATTGAAAAACTTCGGAACGGCGTAAAGATGAAAAAAAAAAAGAAAAAAATTCTTGCTTTTCGTTCTTTTCTTCGAAATGAATTTAAACAAAAAAAAAATTAACAAAAATATGTAATAAAATGAAATTAAAAACAGCCGCGATCGAAGGAAAAATTTAGTAACAAACTTTGAAAGGGTAATTTTCTTGATCCAATTTTACAAGTACACAGTTTTAAATTATCTTTGTAAATACATGTTTTAAATGATGTTTTTGCGCACGTTTACGATCATTTTGCTTGCGGTATTAATTTGAATGATACAAACACGAACTAAATTAAAAGTTAAAAAATGCATACATGATGCTGTGGCAGGTGGGGAAAATTCGAAATCGAGTATGAAGACGAGTATCAAGGATTAAAATGAATTAAATCAGAAAATAATTTTACCTCCCGGTACCTTCATAGCGAAGACGATGGAAAAAAGGGAAGGGATTGGAAGACTGTGCTATGATACATTCAGCTAGAACTAGTTTAGAGACATGTCGACTGCAATAAGCACAAAGCCTCTCCAAGCCTTGTTATATTATTGGTTGACACGGTTTTTGTCTTTTTTCAATAAGTTCCTAATTGTACAGCCAGTCAAGTCCGTCGCGATAAAACCGCCTTGAAATGAATAATTGTAGTCTCCTTGTGAAATGTTATCTGAATTGAAAAACTGAAGTGGGATTGCGTGCGGTATTATAAACCTCGGTTTTCTTTTTAATTTTGACCTAATTTCAGGTTTTACTAAGTTCTTTAGACAAAACGATCATAGAGCGCCATCCATGTGAAAGTCTACGGTTCATTAAGCTTGTTTCTTCAACTTTTTGTAGTTTTTTTTGTCACCAGCTTTATTTCATTGTTGTCCACCAATCTTTTGTCTTTACGATCCCGGAACTTTTCAAACAAAAGCTGAAAATTTGCATTGTTTCGTTGAAGATCAACTCCTTGCGTTTGCTCAGCAATACGGAGGCGTTTAATTACGAACACCGGAGGCAAAAACATCAGAGACAGGCGAAATTTCAAGATTGCGGAAAATTTAAGCGCTCAGCAAATAAACAATAGATTCTGATGTTTTCACCGCATATTCCGGTCACAGAAGTAATGGTTGCTCACACTCACCCTTTGTAAACAATGTTGACGGCAATTTTTTCCCCTTCGGAATACGAAGGGAGTTTCAAAGTGTTTCTTAAAAAAGAAAAAATTATACCAAGCGACCGTTACAGCCCGAAGAAAGGTCGAATACTTGAACCACTTCCCTTTAGAATATTCATGAAAACAGAGCCCGTTTATTGTTCGAATATTCTCGTTCTTACTCTAAAATTCAGAGCATATTTTTAGAAGGAAAAAAATTATGTGTAATAAACATACCATTTGAATGCAGATGAAAAAAAAAAAAGGTGATCTTTACCTGTAAACTGCTCGTTTGATGTAGCGGATGGACCTGATGTAGTCTCAACCCCGTAAACAGAATTGTAACCGTTAAAATATATGGACGAAATAACACAGAAAACAAGGGCTCTCATCGTAAGAATTTAAGCAAGGAGACCATCACTTCACCATAGGACGAAACTCCGTTGTAGGAAGCAAATTGCACCATAGAATATCGACGACTCTTTCACTAAAATAAAACCACACATATATGCATGTCATTATACTGCCAAGAGTAATCAGCAGTTCTTACCGAGGGCAAGATCAGTTATTGAAATTCAAATATTACGCTGATAATAAATGTTGTTTTTCCTAATTCAAGGAGCTTGTGTAGTAACCTGTTTCGTTGTTAGTCCAACAATTTAGTGATTCTGACTAGCGAGTTTTCTCGCCGACACATACGCGTCTTCATATCCAAACCGGAAATTTTCTGAGTGAAAAAGCATGCGTATCACACTGAATAATTCAAGTTTTTTTTTTGTCTTTTTTTTACGTTTTTGAATTATTTGGCTGACAAAGGTTACATCACAGCTACTTTGCATAACAGTTGCAACGACGTGCTTGAGTGGTTGATGACAGAAGAGCAATAAAAGTCACTATGAGAACACAAACGCCATTAAAAATTTCCAAGATATCTTTGCAGTGCTGATCTTGTTGGGATTTTCTTTCGCTCGTCGCCGCTCTGGTTTAAACGCTGTTTTCAAACAGAAAAAACTTACAGCACTAATCTGAGGGTATATATCAAAAAAGACCGATTCATGTTATAATTAAACTAAACATTCTATTTCGGTCGCAAACGAAGATGAATGTCTTATCTATGACGATACGAACTGACACTTTTCTGCCAAAGTGCGTCATTACCAAAAGGAATTGAAATGTAATTTGCATGAACTTAGACTTTGTTTTAAAAGCTTTTGGAAGGCAATTTACCTTGACAAGATTTACTGATTTTGTTCTGATTCTTCCACCCTGAAAATCAAATTTTTTAATAAAAATCTCGAGGTCCACATTATAAAGGATTTTATGATATCCAGGTTGTAGCTTGCGTATGAGGAATACATCAACCCTCGGTGATTTTATTGGGATTAAGTTTTGTACAACTGGTAATTAAACACAGCAGTTGACGGCACGCAGAGCCTGCTTTACTGTGAATTAAAAAAAGAAAACGAGCAAAAAAAGGAAAAAAGGGAGAAAGACGAGTTGCTGATATATATAACCTTGTATCTCAAAACTGATACAACTCGAAATAAAAAGAACAAAAAATTAAAAAACAAATGAAAAGATAGATGAATTGATGAATAAATAAATAAATAATAAGCATGGCAGGGAACCAATGCTACAAGTACGAAACGTTACTTAAGTTAATTTTTGACAGTTAAAATTTTATGATGCAAAATTAGCAGGTGACTTTTTCCTATCACGAAATGAGAAAAAAAAAAAAACAACAACAAAAAAACCATCGTTTACGTCCCGAAATTACAACTTTTGAAATTTCCACGCACCTTTTTTACTGGAATAGCATCATAAGGAACGACTTTTCAACACTTACTTTGATTGAAAATCAATCAAATATATATCAAGCAACTCGTTCTCCCCCCCTTTTGTGTGTTTGTGTTTTTAATCTGCAAAAATCATTGAGAGGATTCATACCGATTCTAGCGGTAAGATTTATTCGTCTTCCTGTGTAATCTGGATTCTTTTTTATGTAAGAGGAACTATTGCTTCTCGTACGAAAGGCGGTATGCAACTGTGCAGTTATGACGGCGAGAAGGTTTTTAGTAGATTAACTTGAAAAAGTCAGTTACCTTTTTCAAGGCACCCACATTTAGCTATTTTGAGCCTTCACCGACCGATCCCTTCGATTCCTGAGGAAACGATTTTCCAATCTCAAAGCTCCACACATCTCCCGAGGCCGAATGAAAAGTCAATAGTCTAGCAAGAAAAAGACTCGTCTATGAAGATGGCTTTCTTAGCTCACTCTCTTAGCACATCGAACAGTTAACTTTGGAACACAAGTTTCTAAATATCCTAACTTATCAGTGTTATGTTACAAATGTTTGAATTTTTCTTCACGCCCATTCTTATATCAATATTTTAAAATGTAGAGGACCGTATAAAAGTAAAGAAGAACATCATATAGCAAGGTAGTCCAGAGGTTCTGAATGGTTCTTACTCCGCCAATGTGCTTAAGATCCGGATCTGAACCACATGCGAACATAAACCATTCATCTCGAGCTGTTCGAGGTGGAAAAAAAATCTTGACACTTCTTCGATAACAGCGGTTCAGCACAGCAGGATATGTGGCTCATGAAAATGAAAACCCCTCTGCACCGTGCCTTATTGCAATCAACAGTTTGTCCTTGAGGTGTTTCTCAGAACTGTAGCTGGTCAGTTTCAGCATGTTAAAACAAGTGGATGCCATTGGAATCTGCCAAATGGACAAAAGGAAAAAAAGCGGGATGAGAGCTGGACATTAGGGCACGAATCTATGGTTAAAACTCAGTTTCAAAGGTAGAAATCAATCGTAAAACACAAGGTACCTGCAAAGGGGATCATTACCTTACAAGGATTGATTTTGAGTCTAGAAACTTCAGAGCAATGTTGATACACTTACTTTGTTAAGTCCTTCGATCTTCGAAATCGTAAATTTTGTTGGACCTGACAAGCCCTGGTGTACAAAAGAAAACCCTATTATCTTATTTTTACAAACTGGAGTTGACACATTTTACAGCAATGTAGAGACAGCAAAAGAAAGTAATAAAGCATGATCAAAAGATGACTGGGTCCACGAATATCACCATTACATTTACATGCCACTCAAATAGCCTGCGAGGATTCTACTGTGTAGACGTTGAATAGCACTTGCGGGATTTTAGGTTAAGAGTGAAAAAAAAAAAGAAAAAAAAAGTTATTTACATAACACGTAACTACAACTGAAATGATTTTTCCCCTTGAGGCGATTTAAGACATAATAGTTGTTAAAACGGTCAGAAAAAAATCATCCCCTAGTGACTTAACATTTGGTTCAAAACATTAAGCTCCCAACAGGGATTATTAGTGACTCAAATATAACAACAGCGATAAACTGGTACAGCACATGCAGAGAAGCTTTCATTTTCCAGAGGTCAAGGGCGCCCGAAGAATATAGCTCAATTGGTTGGAGAATATAGCTCAATTGGTTTGAGAATAAAGCTCATTTGGTAAGAGAATATAGCTCAATTGGTTAGAGAATAAAGCTCACTTGGTTAGAGAATATAGCTCAATTGGTTAGAGAATATAGCTCAATTGGTTAGAGCGCCGGATTGTGCTGTGCGGGAGGTCGCGGGTTCGAACCCCGGCCGGACCAATACTCATGGTCCTAAAATAACTGAGGAGAATTTGCTACCTTTCTATAATATCAAGAAATGGATAGATATTCTA